ACCCCAGAACACTACCCTCTTGGAAAAGTAAAAGAAAAGATTCTTTCATTGTTTTACAAACCCTCCCCTAGGTCCACTCCACCATGTAGCCATCACTCTAGACTCTTGGCATGACAGAAATACCTTGTCACATATCTCTTTTAAACAGTTTTCTCCCTCCTCTGTTTCAGTGCAGTATACATTATTCTCTCATTCTTCATTATACCTGGCAAATTTTCTTCTAATAATTCTTCCACAACTTTTTTGATGCCTTTAGTTGCTTCCAGTTATGTACATGTTATTTTTCTTGATAGTGTCCCACATTATTCTTAGGTTTTCTTCTTTTTCCTTCCTTTTTGATTCTGCTTTTTGTTCTAGCAGATCAGTGGTGACAGTTTTATCTTCTGTTTCACTGCTTCTGTGTTCCATCTCTTCAACCTGTTCATGTGTCCCTCCATCATGTTGACAGCATTGATCCTCATTTGTTTTATCTGCATTATTTTGGATTTTTTTTTAAGCTCCTCCTGGTTTTTGCTTGCAATGTCCTGTAATTCTTCAAGTTTGTCTTTCACCCATTGAAAATATTCAGTCATTGTTCTTTTAAATTCTGTGTCAAAAGGTTTCATCAGAGTTTCTCGCTTCAGGAAATCCATTGATACTGTATCACTTTTCGAAAGTGACATCTTCCTTGGACTTGTGTAGCGGGTGAGGTAGCCTGTTTCCTATGTGGCATTGCTGTGATAGAGTTTTTCATGTCTGAGGCAGTAACAGATTCCTGAACCGAAGTCACTGCTCCGGAAGAGGGTGGGACAGCTACCCTGCCTGAGTTTCTCTCTGCCTTCTTCTGATGCAAGGGAAGATCTGCTTCAGGTTGGTAGGGAAAAGGCCTGTGAAAGCAGCCTTCTCTGTCAGACAACTGCCGCAGCTAGGCTAGCCCAAGGTGTTCAGGGCTAAAAGCACTTGATGGACTGGATGTGAGGAGACACAAGGCAGAGCGTAGAGACCTGATTAGAAAACTAGGAAGCCTTGATTTTCCCTTCAAGAATGAGCTCCAGCTGTCTTGCTACCTTCTGAATGAGCTTAAGGGGACCTACATAATCCAGCCAAACAGAAGCGACCCCCTACAAAGTACCTCACTGAAGGTTCTGAATTGCTCCCAGCACACGTTGCTCCTGGTCCCAAGCCCATATCAGCATCAAGTGTGCCAGTCATGCGTGTCGGCATCAGGTGTTCTGGGCACAGGGCCTTGGTGTCAGGACCAGAGTTCTGAGCATGGGATAGCAACATCAGGACCGGAGTTCTGGGCGCAGGCCAGCAGCTTCAGGACCAGAGTCTGATATAATTGTAAATTTCTCTAATTCTTGGGGTTGTCAGTTTTTGCTTAGTGTATTTTTGGGGTTTGGGGTTATTTTTCTTTAAATTTATTCATTATTGCACCTTTTCCCCCTTCCCTCTCTTCTATCTCCCCGACAGTGCCCCCTTGGTCCAAACTGTTCTCATATATACAGTGTATTATACAATATATTCCTTTCAAATAGTTCCTTCCGTCATCTTTTCCCATTCAGTGTCCATTATATGTTCATCTTTCCCCATTCCCTCTCCAACCCCCCACCCATGTCTATCTTGTTTTAGAACAGTGGTGCTATGCAGTATTTATATTTTTCTGACAGAGATATTTCACTTGGCATAATGTCCTCAAGGTTCCCCCATCTTTTGTAATGTTTTACTATTTCACTGGTTTTTCAATGCTACATAATATTCCATTGCACCATAGTTTTTCTCTTTGTTTATTGATGGATACTTGCGTTCCTTTCATCTCTTTGTTATTGTGAAGAATGCAGCAATAACATGAATGTGCATACATCTGTTTGACTTGTGGCTCTGGTTTCTTTAAGGTATATTCCTAGCAGTAGAATTGCTGGGTCAAATGGTATTTCTATTTCCAATTTTCTGAGAAATCTCCAGACCACCTTCCAAAGTAGTTATACCAATTTACATTCCCACCAGCAGTGAGTAAAAGTTCCATTCTCTGTAACCTCACCAGCATTTGTTGTTTGTTGCCCTGTTGAACTTTGCTATTGTTCATCTCACTGGAGTGAGACTATATCTCATAGTTGTTTTGATTTACATCTTCTAATAGCTAGGGATTTTGAACATTTGTTAATGTGTGCTTAGTGTATTTTTAGATCTGTTCTTAGGTAAATAATTTGGATTGTTAAGTGTTTTGGTATTTTAATCTTTATTATTTTTAAGTAAATAAATCCATTTCCTCTAGCTGTTTATTATGGTTTGAGTTAAAATTTGCACAGCAGGTTAGTACTTCATTTGACCATTTATACATACTTTATTTCATGACATTGATTATAGTCCCCACATTGTATCATCACTCTTCCACTTTCTACTTTTCTGGGACTCTTATTTGTGTTATCCCTCCATCATCACCTTTCCTACCTTCTGGTTTTTATCCTTGAACAATTGATGTCTTTGTGATCTTGTGTGGTTAAATGTTCAAAATGCTGAGAGCCATAGTCTTAGGGGTTCCACCAGTCTTTGTCAGGTCAGTAAGCTGGCCATTATTGTCAGAGTTTTATTGTACGTTTATCCCCTGCTCTGCCCTGAACCTCTTCCTGTGATCTCTTTCAGAGGTAGCTAGTTCTGATCTCAGAATCATGGAAATTGAGGATCGCAAGACCTTTCTTATCCCTTAAGATATTTTTTGCTTTGAAATCTGCATTGTCAGGGAGTTCTGGTGGCCTAGTGGCAAGAAGCTGCACTGCAATCCCAGAGGTATGCGGTTTGAATCCACCAGGTGCTCTGCTGGAGAAGGAGGGACAATCTCCTCCTGTACCAGTCAGATCCGATTTGACGGTACATGCACATAAAATAAAATAGAAATCTGTATTGTCTTTCACTAAATTTTATCATACATTTTTCTCATTCTTTTACTTTCAACTTATTTATCTGCTTGGCCTCTTATCTTGAAGACTTCTTATTTGTTTATGTGTGTTTTGGTTCTGGGACATTCATTTCAGTCTCTGTTGTTTTATTTTCACTGGTAGTGAAAGTCCTTGTCATTGATTTTAATGTTTAATAACGACTTTTGGAATTATTATATTGCTTCCATCCCCATGTTCTTTCTGTGCTTTTTCAAATTCTAATTATCACCAGTAATTAACTTAAAGAACTTCTCCAAGTACAGCAAATGTTTAAACTTCATTGTAAGCTTTTGTCTACATTGTAAGCTATTGTCTGCTTGCTTATATGCCAGATCTTTAACTTGGTCTTTATGTTTTCAGGAGCATAGCTACAGTGTAATGGACAGTCCAAAGAAGCTTAAGCATAAATTAGATCATGTGATCAGCGAGCTAGAAGATGCCAAGGAAACTCTGCGGAATGTATTAGACCGAGAAAAACAATTGCAACAATCACTGAAAAAGACAATCAGGGAATTAAAGGAAGAAGGTCTCATCAGCCAAGAAACAGCAAATAGACTGGAAGCTTTCTGTTGGGAGTGTTGTCAGGAGGACATAGAAGAAGAGACTTTATTTCATGAAATAATCGCATCTGCCTAAAATTGACACTGGTACAAGTCTTTAAAAATTAATGCTCATTTATAAATAGTATCCAGCAATTAAATGCTCCTTTGAATCCTGGAGCATTGTGCATTATACCAAGACTTTTGGGATGGAATGCAGATTTTTACTAGTCTATCATGTTGTGTGATTTGTGGCAATTATGTTTTTATAAACCTAAAGTAATGCATACAGTAACTAAGGCAATAGGGGTAGACATGTCGGAGTCAGTGAGACTGACTCAGGTCAGGGCAGGCTTCAGAGCTGTTGTACACAGGGCCGCTATGAGTCACAGGTCACTCGATGGCACATAACAACAAAGTAGTGAAAATGGAGCTCTGATAGTGTAAACCATGAAGGGTTGTACTGCTAACCCAAAGGCAGTTTAAACCCTCTGATCATTCAATCCACCATTTGCTTCAAGGGGAAAAGATGGGCAATCTCCTGTGTAACCTCTCTGGGACCCACTAAGGAGAAAAGATACCAATTCAGTCATATTAAGGTATGATGCTAGGAGCTGGACATTCTCCAGCTGTGTCAGATTTGTGGCTTCTAAAGAGTATCTTTACTTGTCTGTACAGTAAGTACATTGAGTTTTATCTGAACGGTATTTTACTATAAAATAGAACTCCTTTATGACATATGTCTATCCTGAATATAATTCACGTTAATTCTCACTAACACTGTAGATTTTCTTTACCATTTGTTTCAGTGAATGAACTACAAATGAATTGCATTTTATGCTAAGTTTCTCATGGTAATTTTATTTGTGATGAATTAGTATCAGTAAGGTTTTGGTCACATGTATCTTTTTTTGTGTTACTCTTTAAGAATTTTGTCTTCATGCATGTTACAACTTTATGTAGGACCCCAAGCCTGCCTTCTTTTTTTCCCCCAAGCTTTCCTTCTAAATGGATTTTTACTCATATTTAAGAGATCAGTATTTTTTTAAGAGAAAAACACAGCAGTCATACCTTTTTGTGATCTCTTTAGAAAGAAGCAACTCAGTACCTACTCATTATTTTGTTTTTAATTCATAATAAACACTGTAATGGGAAGTTTGGGCATGATCTTGGGTTTTATGAGATACCATGACAGAATTAGAGACATTTCCTCTCACTGTATTTTTGAAGATAAAGTAAAACTAATTCATGGCTAAAAGTAAGAGGCTAAATTCAAATAGAATGTGCCCAAAATCTAGCTTTCTAATGACTCCCTAGGGTAGATCAGTCCTCCCAGACATTTAAAAAAACCTCTGCTTCTGCCACTGTGACAATTCTACCGACCCTAATTATTTGTATTCACAGTGAACTCAGCCCTTTCTCATTCACCCTGATATCACTAGAGAATTCTGGTAGTCTAGTGGTAAGAAGCTGCACTGCAATCCCCAAGGCACATGGTTTGAATCCACCAGCTGCTGTACAAGAAAAGGATGGCCAATCTCCTCCCATGTGATTAACTGCCTCTGAAGACACACTGGAGGGTCAGTTGTGGGTCAATTCCAACTCTGTGGTACACAACAACAACATCACTGAGAGATGATTAAATGTGGACAAAATATTGGTGTCAGCATGGTTTTAGAGCTGTTCATTTGCTCTTTATTCTCAGGGAGCAAGGGTTGTCAGCAGAAAGTTTACTTGAAAAAACAGCGCTCTCCCCACTTGCTACCCAAAACAAATGCTTGAACACAGAATACATATGACCCCAACCTCAGCCCCAAAGCAGCTTATGAATACTGTGACTTCGCATTTTTCTCCATATAAATAGACTTTTATTGATAAATTATATTCATTTGTGGGGGAAAAGAATGAGATATATTAAATACACAGTTTTAAAAAGATAAATTATTACAGAAACAATAGAGTGGTAAAGAATACCTTATATATGGCAGAAATAATTTTTTTCAGTAATGTGATCTATGTGGGTTTTTTTATATTATTATTCAATAAAATAAGCAGCAAAGATGAAGGTGTTTTTACTTTAATTCATTCCTTATCTTGTCCCTCCACTATTAACTCCAGTAATCATGTTGTTATTATTGGTTGCTTTGGAGTCAAGCAGTCAAGCATGATTTATAACCACCCTATGAACAAAAGACCTGAAGCCCCTCTACGACTGTCAACATTTATCAAAGTTCATAGAGTTTCCAGAGGCATTTTATTTAGGAAGTGGACTACACTCCTGCTTCCAAATATGTCACAGTATGTTATTGTTGTTATAACGATGTATAGCGACCCTATGTACAGCAGCTCTGAATCCTTCCCTGTTCTGAGCTAATCTCACTAATTCCGACACACCAATCCCCATTGCTCCAGTTTCTTTATCAATCCATCTCATCTGGGGTCTCCCTTTCCTGCACTGTCTGTCCACCCTTCTGATCATGATGTCTTTTTCCGAGGACCGATCTCTCCTGTCCACATGCCCGAAGTATGTGAGGCAGAGCTTCAAAATCCGTTGCCTCCAAGGATGGACTTGGTTTCACCCTCTCTAAAACAGACCTATTTGTTTTCTTGGCAGTCCATGTAAGACTCTTCTCCAGCACGACAACTCAAAAGACATCTATTCTTCTGTCATCCTTAGTCATTGTCCAACTCTCTGAAGCATAACAAATAATTGAGAAAACCATGGTCTGGATTAGGCACACCTTTGTATCTAGACTGACATCGTTGCTCTTCAACACTCTGGAGAGGTCCATGACAGCAGATTTTCCCACTGCAATTTGTCTTCATTTTCTGACTGCTGGTGTTAAGAGTATTGATTGTGGATCTGAGCAAGCTGCAATTGCTAACTACCTCAATCTCTTCTCCATCTAATATGGTGCTGCCAATTGGCACAGCAGTGGTGAGAATCTTTGTCTTCTTGATGTTGAGCTTCAATCCATATTAAAGACTATAGTCCTTGACATTTTGCCACAAATGCTTCAGGTCCTCTTAAGTTTTAGCAAGCAAGGTTGTGTCATCTGCATTTCATAGGTTGTTAATGCATCTTCCTCCAATCTTGAAGCCACATTCCTCCTAAAGCCCTGCTTCCTGAATGATCTGTTCTGCATACAGAGTGAAGAGGTACGGGGACAGAATGCATCCCCGATTCACTCCTTTCCTGATTTTGAACCATCACTCCTTTCCTGATTTTGAACCATGCAGTGTTTCCTTGCTCTATTCTGGTCCAAGTATTGTGGTGTTATGTGCCATCGAGTTGCTTGCGACTCAGAGCGACCCTATGTACCACGGCCCTAAACTGCTCTGTCCTATGCCAATCTCACTGTCTCTGACACACCCATCCCAATTACCTCTGTCACCGAATCAATCCACCTCCTAGAGGGCCTTCCCCTCCTGTGCCTGCCCTCCACCCTCCCAAACATGATGTCCTTCTCCAAGAACCAGTCTCTCCTTACAACATGACCAGAGTACGTCAGGCAAAACCTCAGAATCCTTGCCTCCAAGGAGCAGCCCAGTTTAACCCTCTCAAGGATGAATCTGTTTATTTTCTTAGCAGTCCATGGTACCCTCAATAATCTTCTCCAACAAAGGCATCAATTCTCCTTCTATCCTCCTTAGTCATTATCCAACTCTCTGATTCATAACAAGTGATTGCAAAGACCGGGGCCTCTATCTTAGTCTCCAGAGAGACACCAGCACGATCAAGTGTTCTGAAATTCCCGTTTTCCTCAAGGTGAGCCATGATTTATTGTGATCCCCACAGTCAAATGCCTTTGCATAGTCAATTAAACACATTCTTCTAGTACCCTCTGCTTTCTGCCAAGATCCATCTGACATTGGCAATAATATCCCACGTGCCACAACCTCTGTTAAACCCAGTTTGTGTTTCTGGTATTTCTCTGTCAATGTATTGTTCAAGTCTTTTCTGGATAATCTTCAGCAGGAATTTGCTAGTGTGTGATATTAGTGATATTGTTTGATAATTTCCACACTGTTGGGTCACCTTTTATTGGAATGGGAATAAATATGAATCTCCTCCAATCATCCAGATTTCTTGGCACAACTTGTTGAGCACGTACAGGGCAGCATTTATTTGCTGAAACATGTCAATTGGTATTCTATCAATTCCTGAGGCTTTATTTTTTTGCCAAGTCCTTCAGAGCATCCTACACCTCTTCACCACCACTGCCTCTTGCTCATATGTTGGTTCTTTAAATTCTTCTGTGTCAGCCAATTCTTTTTGGTACAATGACTATACACCTTACATCTGCTTTTAATGCTTCTTGAATCATTCCGTAGTCTACCCATAGCATCCTTAAGTATTGCAACTCATGGCTTGAATTTGTTCTTTAGTTCTTTTAGCTTAAGAAATGCAGAGCGAGTTCAGCCCTTTTGATTTTCTGACTCCAGTTCCTTGCACATTTCATTATAATATTTTGCTTTGTCTTCCCGAGCAGCCTTTTGAAATCTTCTATTCACTCCTTAACTTCTTCCCTTTAGCACCTGCTAATTTAGATGATGCAGGTAGCAAGTCTATTCTCCCTGCAATATCAACCTGCCACAGAGCCCTTTCTTGCTCTAGGTCCCATCAAAAATTAGAATTCTTTCATGTTTTTTAATACGTAGGTGAGAGCAGTGTTTCCAGGCTTTAAATGTGATACCTTTGAGCATAAAGACCTATCAAATGAGCTTCCTTTCATGGGAGATGCAAAGTGTTAGGATTTGTCTATTCTTAGAGGGGATACATCCTGGCCTGCCTCAGAAAACTACACATGTCTTCACATAAAATTTTTCCAAAGAGTTTTGTGGACTTTCTCAGTTCTCATCTGCTTTTATCAAGCCCTCATATTTACTAGTTCTCTTTGCTGATCCCATTTGATTAGCCTAATATAGTGAACTAAGTGATGTCCTCTATGTCTATATACTGTTGATCTCTTTATAAATTCTACAGAACAAGAGTTAACATAGCCTTGGGACAAGATTGCACATATATCCCATTGTCTGTTTTGTGTGAATGAAACTACTTCTGATCCTGTGTTGTAACAGACAGAAAAGCGTACA